AAATTAGGTGTGACGTTTTACATTTTTTGAGATTCCTTTCTCAAACTCCAGCTGGCTCCGGCCATTGAGCTTAACCTAAGCTCTCAGGTATAGATGTAACATGTTGTCAATAACAGAATGTACCTGCTATTTCTTCGGCTTAAATTTATATATATATAATTCTAGGTCTACGTCTCTCAAATAGTATGTGGAGTGATCTCTCAAACCCAATAATTTTTTTTAAAATCTTCAATTGGCCTCTACTTCTATAGTATTTATTACTTTAGGGTCTGGAAATTTGTGGTGCCGAAACCATACTGTATAGTCTGGAAATACTGTCTTGGCAGTTCATCAATGCCTTAGTCCATCCCAACTTGCTGGGTATGCAACAAATTCAAGATTTGGTCGGCAGGATCTAACACATAATTATTTTTATTTTTATATTTTGTAAATTTAAAAACTTTGGTGGGACTTGAAATTAATCAAGTGGGTATGGCCTATGGGCAACAAAAGTTGTCATTGGACCCCTCATTGCACATTCAAATCTCTGAATTCTGATGTCTCCATGTTTTGTTGCTAGAGACGTAATTGATGACATTGGATAATTGCTTCAAATATGTCTCAATTGCATAGCCTATCACTTATGTATTACTTAGTACAAAAGTTGTATATAATTTAAATTTCAATAAAAATGAGTCTAAAAATGAAATCCATTTACCATGTTTAATGATTAAGTAAACTTTCATAGATTGAACGTAAGTTACTTATACTCTAATTGTAGTGTATGTAATACCAAAAACTAATTATAAGAGTTAAAGTGGAGAAAAACTTGAGGGTGTTTGTGAAGTTTCATTCAAACCAAAGAGTTGAATTATGGTCTATGGCTATTATTATATATGCAAACGTATTGGAAAAGAGAAATACTTGCAAGCAAACAGAGGGAGACTAATAAATCAAGAAACTTCCTCTCACGTCAAACCAAAGAGTTTTGTATACTTATCTAAGATTGTTGATAATAATATTAGTAAATTGTATAGTATTAATTTGAATATCAAAACTCACCAATGTCATTTGGTCTTGCCTCCTTTTTTGACCCTCTGTGACCTTCTCACAAACTCCAATGTCACCATTTCCCTTCCCCAAAAGCTGTTGGTGGCAATGGGAAAAACTTAGCCTAGTTAATTTGTTTTATATCCATATATAGTTAGTATTTGCATGTAAAACTTAATTAGTCGTTAATATTCTGAAAATAGTAAGTTGGAGGAGTTTTAGACAAATTATAAACATCGAAGGAGTTGCGTAGCGTACGTTTCCTAGTCAACTAGCTACCTTTTTGCAAATTTAAAATTGAGTTACTTTAAAGAGGTCAATATTCGTTATTGATTGTTAATTAAATGTAAAGCTTAGTCATCATACTTTAAATTATAACAACTTACATGAATTTGGAGAAAATTATAAAGTTGAAGCATCACGAATGAAACTTCGGTTATATTTGATATTGTATTAAGTAAATTATTATTATTGTTGTTTTATTTGATGTGACACGTCTTATCGAACATAATATTTAATATATTAATACAATATGTCATATAATATGCTTGTGATAATCTAAGACTCTTGTTTTATTTGACAAGAGTGAGTGTGAATACCCTCCAATTCCAACCAAGAGGTTGTGAGTTCGAGTCACCCCAAGAACAAGGTAGGGAGTTCTTGGAGGGAGGGAACCGATGGTCTATCGGAAACAGCATCTCTACCCTAAGGTAGGGGTAAAGTATGCATACAAACTACCCTCCCTAAATCCCACTAGTGAGATTATATTGGATTGTTGTTGTATTTGATGTGACACTTCTTATCGAACACAATGTTTAATATATTTATACAATATGTCATATAATATGCTTGTTATAATCTAAGAAGTCATTGAAACAGTTACTGAAAAGAGAATTATCATCAAATCAAAGTTAATAAGCGAAGGTATAAATGTCGTATAGCAATAAAATTGTATCAAAATATTTAGATTATCCAAAAATAAAAAGAGTAATCGTATATTGAAACGAAAGGAATAATTGACTTTCTCTTTCCGGTTTAGGTTTTTATCTTATCGACAAATAGAAATATGGTCCCGTTACCACTTACCACCAAATTTCTTTGGAATTTTCCTTTTTCAAATTGGTGTTGCATGCCTTTCTTATTTCTAATTCTCCCATTTCTTATCTGGAGAATAATTGATCCCCTTAAAACTGTCATGTACTTTTTCGGTCTCAAATTTACATAATACATTTTTCTTTTTAGTTTGTACTAAACATATATATATATATATATATATATATATCTAAAAATAAAATAATTTCATGTTTTTTATTTTATCCTTAATTAAATAATTTTCAGTCACACAAATATATGTAACTTGTTTTGGATTATAAGTGTATCACATAAATGAAGAAGAGAGATTACTAATTTCGAGTACAACGATTTTTTTTATACAATAGAACCTAATCTGCTCATTGATAGAGACTACGTACATGTCAAGTATCAAAAATTCTTGGCTGACATACGTACCTTTCATTGGAGATAAGTACTGTCAGCTAAAGTTTTCTTGTTTTTGTTTTTAGGGTATTAAAATGATGGCGCTTTTTGATTTTTAAGAGTCGAACAATTATCTTAGCAAGACAATATTTAGATACTTATAAACGAAAGAAGTACTATGTAACTTGTGGAACTAGGTTGAAATTTCCAAGATATTAGTTTAAAATGAAAGATTTAGTGGGCGTTTGGACATAAGAATTATAAAATTTCGAAAAAAAAGTGACAAAAAAATTTTTTTAAGTGAAAATGGTATTTGAATGTTAGAGTTGTGTTTGTACATGAATACAATTTTGGGATGTTTTTGAATTTTTGTGAGTGATTTGAAGTGAAAATTTTGAAAAACAGTCTTTTGGAGTTTTTCAAATTTTCGAAAAATTTTAAAATTCATTTTCAAGTGAAAATTGAAAATTTTATGGCTAAACAATGATTTTGAAAAAAAGTGAAAACTTTTGTATGGCCAAATGGCCCCTTAGTGGGCGTTTGGACATAAGAATTGTAAAATTCCTAAAAATGAATTTTAAATGATATTTGAAAATTAGAGTTGTGTTTGGACATAAATATGATTTTGGGTTGTTTTTGAATTTTTGTGAGTGATCTGAGTGAAAACTTTGAAAAACTTTTTTCAAAATTTTGAAAAATTCTAAAATTCGCTAGCATTTGGCCATAGATTCCCAAATTTATTCTGAAAAATCTGATTTGGGTGGAGTTTGGTTTGAAGATGAAATGTGTTTGGACATCCGTTTTGGGTGAAGTTTGGTTTGAAAAAATATGAAACATGACTTATACCCACAAGTTCTAAAAACTATCACAAATACCCAACAATACCATTATCAATAACATTCATTATATTATCGCAAACCATAGTCCTGAACATAAATAAATTTGATACAAAATTATCATTTTTATAATGAACTACATGATACACTATCAGATGACCGAGAAGACGAATCAACATCGTTACAAAATAATAAATGGTGGGCTCTTTTATAAAATATAAAAGTTTGGGGCAATTTTTAAAAAATATAATAGTGATATTCTGGCCCAAAGCTGGTTTTGAGATTTGGGATTTGGCCAAAATGTAGGCAAAATCTATGGCCAAACATGTGTTTGCCAAATAAAACTCAAGTTTATTTTGACAAAATCTATGGCCAAACGGGTCCTTCATCTTCAAGTAAAAATTAAAAATTTTATGGCTAAACACTGATTTTGAAAAAAATTGAATTTTTTTAATTTCCAAACAGGCTCTTAACTTTTGAAAATTTGATCAAATTACGACAATCGCGTTTCAGTTGTCGAATTAGTTGGTTATATGAATTTTCAATATCAATTTTGCTTCATTTGGATCTATTTCGTTTGGTATTCAATAATTTGATGTTAATTTTCTAACAACGATTATCATTTCTAAACATTGAATTTAATGTTAGTGTATCAACATGACTAAGTCTAAATTCGAATTAGTCCATATCTTTTATATTGATACTTGTTAGTTGTTATCGTTGTATTATATTCTTAACTAATAGCCTATTTCAAATAAAATGCTTTCTTTTGGCCAAGTTTTTAGAATAAAAAAATTGTTTTTGAGTAAAAAAAGAAGCAATTTTGGAAAAGCAGAAAAAAATAGCTTCTCCCCATAAGTACTTTTAAAAAAAATTATTTTTGAGAAAAATACACTTAAAATCATTTTTTAAAAACTTAGTCAAATACTAATTGCGATTAAGAAGTATATTTTTAATTAATTAACCAAACACAAATTATTTTTTACTAAAAATATTTTTGAAATAAATACTTTTTAAAAAAAAAAATCTCAAAAGAAGCTTATTTTAGAAATGTGGCCAAACAGACTATAAGTATTCATGAATTTGAGATACGGCACATTCTTTGACATAAGTATTTTGTATTCCCTAATTAAGGGCCCAATTTTTTTTCAATTTTTTTAAGTAATAAATGTTTGACCACGAAAATTTTAAATTTCATTTAAAATTATTTTTAAAATTTTTACTTGATATCACTCAAAAAATTAAAAAACAGCTCTAAATTATCTTTTTGACCATCGCCACCAACAACAATATACTCAATATTATCTTATACTGTGAATCTGAAAAGAGTAATATGCACACAAATCTTACCCCTGCCTTGACCAAACACGACTTTAATTTTTAAATATCTTTTTTTCTTGCTTTAAATGTTTTTCACTTTTGTCGAAATTTCACAATTCTAATGACCAAACGCCCACCAAATTTCACGTTGCTTCCTGTTTCTTGCTTTTCCCAAAAACTTACTAAAAGAAGAATGAACAAAAATAGGGGAGGTGGGTAAACAAGGAAAGTGGTGGTAGAAATAGAATTCATTCGCACAGGCACACGCGCCAGACGCGTGGAAGAGCCTTTTTGTGAAAATTATTATGGCAGATATAAGAATAAAGCAACTTCATCTCATTGGGTTAATTGAATTTTATATAGGATTCTCTCTGTAAAATTTCTGCAGCTGAATCTGCCCCATTTTCCTTCTTCTGCAGTGCTTCCCAAAGGTCACTAATCTCCAAAGAATCTATTATCCTTTCTTCTGCCTTTGGTTTTGCACTTTTCAGCCCCCTCCTCATAGCCCCTTTATCTATATATTGATTGATTTATAATCCAAGATTTTCCTATATTTCTCTTCTCCATATTCATAAGATACAGAAATTATAAAAAAGATCAAAACTTTTCAACACCCAGTTGGAAATTATCCAAGATTTTCATATATTTCTCATCTCCATATTCATAATAAAAAGTAATTATAAAAAAGATCAAAACTTTTCAACACCCATTTGGAAATTTTATCATGGGATTTGTTGGTGACACACAAAAGATTGATAGGGGTAATGGTAGTGCGGATAAAGGAGGGTGCTTTTTTGGGGGTATGAAAAGTCTTGTAAGAAGGAAACAGGTTGATTCAGCAAATTCAAAGTCTGGTTCTGCTCATCAATTAGCTAAGGCCTTAACTGTTCCTCATCTTATTGCTATAGGTATAAAAATGTGAACTTTTTTTTTTAATCTAGTTCTTTTATCCTCTGGGGTTCATGTTTATGGTTTCTTGATTATCTTTTACCTTTAGTAAATGGACCTTAAAGTCTGCTTTTTAGCCTTTTAAATGAAATTATTCAATCCATTTTGCTGATATGGTAGTTATTTTTTTTCTTAATTTATTTTTAAATCCTATTAATATTATTTATGATCTGTGTATTCTTATGTTATGGCATGTCAACTTGGATTACTCATAGTGGAAATTGATGTCCTGATAGTGTCAACAAATAATAGTTATTGCAAGACTAGACTAGTTTCCTCTGTTAACATTCAAGGCTGATTCTTTTCTTTGACTTTTTTGATGCTGATTGCTTGGGAGGAATAAGTTAGGCCATTTTATAATTTGCTAGCTAGCTCTACCTATGAGATTCCGAACGCATAGCTGGTTCCAAGTTTGGATAAAGGATAAGGTTTACAGTAGGTTGATAGCCAGTGTAAAATTAGTCTAACTATGATAACCCCTATGCATACTGAATTTATTGGGATATGTTGTACTGTCCAATATAGAGTAGAATGGATAAAGAACATTCTTATAGCTGACCCCAACTAGCTTGGGATTGAAGATTTATTGGTTGATTGGTCGATTTATATTGAATTTTACTAGGTAAAAAGATGTCTATATATCAGTTCTGGTCAGCTTGATAAAATTTTAAGCCTTGTGATTTGATTTTCCAGGGGTTGGTTCAACAATTGGTGCGGGGGTTTATATTTTAGTTGGTACAGTTGCAAGAGAGCACTCAGGCCCGGCCCTCACCATTTCCTTTCTAATAGCTGGAATAGCAGCTGCTCTTTCTGCCTTTTGCTATGCGGAGCTCGCAAGTCGTTGCCCATCAGCTGGGAGTGCCTATCATTATTCTTACATTTGCGTCGGAGAGGGGTAATGCCACAAAGTTCTTCGCGCATGAAATTTTTATCTTATAATTGGGTTTTGTGATATTAATGAAAATCTTTTGCTAACTGATTAAAAGAAAGAATTCTGATTTTATGATATAATAGCTTTTCCTATCAGACATGACTTATGATTTCAGTTCTTATAATGCTTTATAATTTTGTTTCTAAATTTTTGAGGTCTAGATATGTTCTTTATTGAAATTTATACCCCCATTCCCTCTCAGTGTTGCTTGGCTGATTGGTTGGGCAGTAGTATTGGAGTACACAATTGGAGGTTCTGCAGTTGCTCGAGGCATATCTCCAAATCTGGTGCAGTATTTTCTCTTTGATGCTCTTCTAAATTATTAGGTTTTTCCTTATAAGTAATACGCCTAGCTGTCTCTTCCCTTAAGATAGCCTTATTGTGGGTGTGCACCCTTCATACGAAGTAGAATTACCGGGATCCGCAAGTGGATGAATCACTGCACCCACCTAGGAGCATCCCATCCTGTGTATCCGTGCGGCAATCTGCTTGTTGCTCTTTACTTAGGTCTTCTGATGTATGTGAAGCCAAATGATCAGATGCTGTGTATCCATGCGGGGAAAAAAATGCCTAATTCACATCTTGAAATGTCAGTACACTTGGTCTATTCCTTTTGTGATTTACTGTTGTCATCTTCTTCTATTTGCAGGCCATGCTTTTTGGAGGTCCAGACAGCCTGCCAACTTTCTTAGCTCGTCACACAATACCAGGACTGAATGTTACAGTGGACCCATGTGCAGCAATTTTAGTTTTTGTTGTCACTGGGCTTTTGTGTGTAGGGATCAAGGAGGTATTTTTCATATCCAGAAAATCATCTCTCTTTGTAGTTTGTATTCTTGAATTATGCTAATTCAGTGACATCTTTTGCAGAGTACAATGGTACAAGGATTTGTCACTGCAGTTAATATATGTGCCATGTTTTTTGTGATTGTTGCTGGTGGATATCTGGGCTTCAAAACTGGATGGCCAGGCTATGAGCTTCCCGTTGGGTAATTGGCTGTCCTGCACTAGAATTCTTATTTGTTTTCCTTCTGTCGATCTGTCTTTCTCAATTTTCTTCAATTGATAGGTATTTTCCCTTCGGAGCTGATGGAATGCTTGCTGGTGCTTCAACTGTTTTCTTTGCCTACATCGGGTTTGATTCAGTTGCTAGTACCGCTGAGGAGGTATTTCTTAAGTCTGTATATACTTTGTCATTTATGAGGTATTATCTATGTTGAAGATTCTTAAACCTTTAAAATTTATCTTTAATTTTACTTCTTATTGTTCATCTCTAAAAGGTGAAGAATCCTCAACGCGACCTGCCGATGGGAATTGGTTTTGCATTATCGATATGCTGCTCTCTCTACATGTTAGTCTCTGCAGTTATTGTTGGTTTAGTACCCTATTATGCTATGGATCCAGATACCCCAATCTCCTCCGCATTTGCAAGCCATGGAATTAATTGGGCTGCGTAAGTTAATCTTTTGGCCTAATGATGTTGCCGTTAGTTTATCTTTAAGGCTGAACTATTTGATGTGAATCCGCCTTTTTTACTTTAATACTCTCTATTCTAATGTACTTTCTCGAGACTCATTACAGATATATCATAACTATTGGAGCTTGTACTTCTCTTTGCTCAACATTGATGGGTTCTATATTGCCTCAGGTAAGCGAGCTGCATCATGTAGATTTCTAAGCCGACCTAGCTTGAAATTACTTAAGACACCAAAATCTGATTAGATTAAAACTATTTAACTTGTTCGTTCAATTAAGATGTATAACTTTCTATACTAGATACTTTGTAACCCTTCCCTGGCAAATTATACTGTATAACTGTAGCATGTAACATGGGAAACTTGATGGTATGTGACATATAACCACTTTGAAGTCTTAGATATTACATCTTATATCATTGGACGTACTAGTGTTCTCACATTTTGAGAGAGGGACAAGCGGAGTTGGTTTTTCACCATACTTGTACTTTTGGCGCTAACATTGATTTTTGTATTCAACTGGGATTGTAATTGAATATTTAAGAATTGAGTTTCACCTCAATGAAACAAGATTCTACCTTATTTTTTATGCTAAGAAGATCTCTTCTTCGGTACCTAACAACATTTTCATGTTATTTGCTTGTGATTCTAGCCACGAATACTTATGGCAATGGCTCGGGATGGATTGCTGCCTTCATTTTTCTCAGACGTTCATAAACGCACTCAGGTTCCTGTTAAAGGCACTGTAGCAACTGGTTTACTCTCTGGAACTTTAGCATTTTTCATGGATGTTGAACAGTTGTCAGGAATGGTATGCTCACCTTCTGAACATATTAAATTAGATTTAAAGGTCGACAGAAGTCTCTCTTAAGTCCTCCACAATCATCTCAGCGCTATCATCTTGTTCCTTGTTCTTCCTATTTGGCACTCTATTTCTGTAAGTTCAAATGTTTTAGTACTTCACTGCATAGAGGATTGTGTCAAAATATGGCGTGGAGCATGTTTGAGATGGTGTTGAAACACATTAACAATATCAGTTATGTATTTTTTGCTCCCTTTGTTGTGTGTAATTATCCTTGTTTTGGAGTGAGGGAACAAAGGCAACAAGAGAGTGATATTGATATCTAGAATTAATGTCTGTTTTTGGCTCAAAAGAATCTCCATTTCTATATCCTTAAGATGCTTCCTTCTTTTTTCAATTAGAGAGTGGGAAAGAATCATGCAAACAACATGATTATGAGGACCAGAAAGCCCTTGTAAGCTTAATGAATGCTTTTCATTGTTAACTAATAGATAATGACATGAAAACATGTCTTATTTACCATACGTGTCAAGTAAACTTTGAAAGCCTTGTTTGAGTAATTCACAGCTCTCATTAGTCAGGAATAAAATGTTTTATCTTTCTGACATTTGTCTGGTTAAACCTCTCTTTTTATGTATGGGAATAATGTTTATGCTCTCTGGCTTTCTGTTTGTGGTGTGTGTTTAATATGCTTTAATTTTAGCATTTGTGATTCATGTAACTTTTAGAAGTTCAAGTTTCCTACTAAGGGCCTTGATTCAGGGGATTACACAACTTTGTCCTTGATAAGGATTATATCAACTGTCATGTGTTTTTCCTGTATTGTCTTTTTTCTACTTTGGAGGCTGGCTAGAAGTTATGTGAAGTTAGATTTCAAAAAGTTTTCCTTTCTTCTTTGCCCATTCTTTCTCTCATCCCTTTTGGTTTTCATCGGGTTTCTGCATGTCGTGATTATGTTTTTGTTTCACAGGTTAGTGTTGGTACACTCCTTGCATTTACAATGGTGGCTATTTCAGTACTGATTCTCCGATATGTCCCACCAGATGAGGTCCCACTTCCGTCCTCTTTTCAGGAGGCAATCGACTCAGTAAGCCTGCGGCATAGCGGCTGTAATAGTGGTTCAGACATTGATGTCGAGACCACCAAAATTCCAGCTGTGACCTCTGGAGATAGCACTCCATTGTTAGTTGAGATTTCAGTTGGGCATCCTCTTGTGGAAAAAGCGGCAGCAAAGCTGAACTGTAAGTTCTGAATTCTTGGTAGTAGGTGGCGGAGTATTTTTGTGCTGAAATGAGCATGCTATGCTATGACTTGGTAAACATTCTGTATAAGTAAAGATGCTTTAATGTATATGAAATTGAGAAATTGCGACCAAGGTAAATCTAATAGCTTGTGTCAGGTATGGCTAAAAAATAATAGGAAAAGCAAGGGGGTGAAAGAGCAGATAGCTGATTAATCTGAAGAAGGAAAAAGCAATAAGAACTAACTTGGTTTCTTGATTACAGTCTGTCTCTTTCTTACCACCATTGTGTAGGAATTGTATTTCCTTACCTCATGATCCAACTGAATAACTCAAAATAAATAATAATAATGATAATAATAATAATAATAATAATAATAATAATAATAATAATAATAATAATAATAATAATAATAATAATAATAATAATGAAAATACTGACGCTCACTTGGTTCACGAGCCCTTCTTCTCCAGTTTCCCTTATTTCCATTGCATTCATGAGTCAAGGATGTGATCATTATATTCTTGTCATTTACAAAGAATAATCTAAATAAGTACTTCCCAGTTTAATTTGCTTCTCTTGATTTTGTTGCAGATCTAGTACGTCAAAGGCGGAAAGTTGCTGGCTGGACTATTATGTTCATCTGTATTGGAATATTCATCCTTACATCCGCCGCTTCAATTGTTAGCTTGCCCAAGTGAGCTCTCTCTCTCTCTGAGATTTTACCTGTTTATTTTCTTTAAAGTTTGGAGGGCTACAGAGGAGGTTTAAGAAGTGTGCAAATGTGTTATAAGGTTAAACACCGGGAAATTTTGTACACCAACTTGGATATAGACATTCATGAATGTATCTACAGGCGCATATTTAACTATCATTAAATATGAGTAAAAACTTATTATATTTTTCATAAATGTGTGACAAGGTGGGTTGCTCTGATGGTAAGCGCCCTCCACTTCTAACCAAGAGGTTGTGAGTTCGAGTCACCCCAAGAGCAAGGTGGGAGTTCTTGGAGGGAAGTATGCCGAGGGTCTATTGGAAACAGCCTCTCTACCCCAGTGTAGGGGTAAGGTCTGCGTACACACTACCCTCCCCAGACCCCACTAGTGGGATTATACTGGGTTGTTGTTGTGATGACAAATACTGATGTAGTTTTATTCTGTAAACCTTACTTTTGCTGTACCAAAATCTGACTCCAGTAAATTAATGTTGTGATTAGTCCTGCTAGGTACACACTGTGTGGAATCGGCGGATTTCTTCTGCTATCTGGTCTGATAGTGCTCACTTGCATAGACCAGGATGATGGGCGGCACAGCTTTGGACACACGGGAGGTATGCTTTATCATTATGCCTGATTAAAGGGTTTTCATTCCATTAGCTTCGACCTTAGATCTAATGATCTTGGTATTTTGTGGTAGCATCCTACTTGTGCTCATGCTCACATCAATTATCTAATTATATTGCTTGTGCTTGACGGCAAGTGATGCCTAATTTAAAATGTAATTTCTTTTTCCTATTCAGGTTTCACTTGTCCGTTCGTTCCACTTCTGCCTATTGCCTGCATTCTCATCAATGTCTACTTATTAATTAATCTCGGGTAAGCCTTCATGAACGTCTTTGCTATTATTTTATGCGCTGCCGAACTATATTTCATATTTTTGTTTTTTACTGTTAAGAATGAATTTGGACCTAACTCAACCCCGAATGTTAGCTCCTGAGGTGATTTTTCAAAATCGTATAAGGAGACAACAACTCATTCCCTTAACCAATGTGAGACACTTTAACACCATCCGCACGCTCAGACCTATCATTTGGAGTGCGGACAACATAATATGAGGGTCCAACATTGGGTAAACAAAGAATATTGATGTGTTTGACTCTGATACCATATTAAGAAAATGAATTTGGGCCTAACTCAATCTTTGAAGCTAGTTCATGATGTGAAGATTGCCCAACACCATATGAGGAGACATCAACTCATTCCCTCAACTAATGTGGGAAACTTTAACGCATAGTACACTGCTTCCTGCACTCTCCTATGCTCGCTAAAGATGGGCCAGTTGTCAATGCCTAGAATCACTACTCGTGATTACCACTATTTCTTTATCTTTCTAATCTAAGCATTACTACTCAGCATTGTTAAACAACTGCTTGCATTTCTTGCAGTGGTGCAACTTGGGCCCGTGTATCAATATGGCTATTAATAGGGGCGTGCATATATGCTTTGTATGGTCGAACACACAGTTCACTGAAGAACGCAGTTTATGTTCCTGCAACTCACGTGGATGAAATTTACCAGACGTCTGCTAACTCCCTTGCATGTTAACCTGTATGTCCGAGTCAAGTGAATACCCTTGGTATCGGTTGCACAACCCACAAGCAGCACAAAGGATCAAGAAGAAGAAGCTGCACATTTTGGGTTCCCAAGTATTTCTGTTGATAGACTGTTACTTATATGTTTCAGATCTCTTTTCTTGTACTTTGTTGCCATTGTAATTCTTCTAGTGTAGTTCCACTGCTGAAAGAGGAAAAAGAGAAAGGAACAAGAAAAATGAGAACTAGAAATATATATTATTGCAAATCACATCAAGTGTTTGTAATCAGCAGCTGGCAGTTGATTCTTTGAGCTTCTTTGTTTGTACATATTTGTGATATAACTTACAGAATTGTGATATCCTGATAATGGGGGTACTTGTGGAAAGTGTAAATATGTGAAATGTAAATCTACAACCTCTTGGAATTTCCTTAAATAGTACTGGTATTTTTTATTCTTTCTTGTTTCTTGCAATTAAGTTTTTTGGTTTTATGACTAGCGAAGTCCTTTGCAATTTATTACTATAATTAATAAAAAGTTCTTTCCAACTCAGTCCGTCTTAATCGATGGAACAGTGTAAGCAAGATATCACTCTCGTTTGCTCCTTTGTTGTATATACTAAAACTTTAGGATTCATAATTAAAGGTTTTTTCGTTTAAGAGTTGCTGCCGTTTGACTGTAAAATTAAGGTCACTTATTCAAGTCGTGAAAAGATTCACTTGCAGATATGCAAGGTAATAAGGCTGCATACAACAAAACTAATGTGGGGTGCGACTTTTTCATAGATCTTGTGCAAGCGGGAGTTAGTACATCCGGCTTGTACTTAATTAATTGGGAATTGCACTTAAGAACTGGATTGAATATGTGGAAATTATACTCATTTTTAGTTTGACAATATAGAATGTCTTACAAAAGGAGAAATTGTATCTTAAACAATCAAAAACTAAGTTAAATTCCCATTTCTGATATGCATATCCTCATCTTCCCTCTTGTTGATTGACACCCAAAACTTCTCTAAATCATTACATAAATCTTTTTCTCTACCTATGACTACAGAACTATGATCTGCATTTGCAACTATTTTTACCTCTGCATTTGGCACTTTCATCTTTACATTGTTACTGCATTCCAATGGCACTACTTGATCCCTACTACCCTGTGTAACATTGATTTTCACTTTGGCTATACTTAGAGTTTCCAAATATTTATCCATAAATTTTGCTCCCCCACATATCACATTATGCATAGTATGCCAAGCTGAATGATGAGTGTGCCTTGTCAAGTCAATTGCCATAAAATGTAGGTTCCTGAAACCAAAGAGTAAGAATCAGATTGTTAAGAAAGCTACCTGCTATTTTTGACATAACATGAGGTAATTTTACATATATTCATTCGACTTTCAGTTTATTGTACAAAAGTGTGATAAAATAAGATTTTGAAACAGAAAACTAACTACGCCTATACATCAAACACCAGAAATGTCAAATCTGGTCAGTATAGTCATATCAACAACTCACCTTACATAATATTCACGTTGCATCATATAAAAAAAATCTATTTTCCGACTCAACCTAAGTAAAAAGAGTTATGGCCCTCACCTATTCCAAGTTAGTAACTTCAGAATTCCTTCCCACATTCTGTGGTTTTTGCAGATGATGTAACATACACATCTGCCCAAGTGTTCATACCAAGACATAATTGATGAACCAAATAACAAAGGTGGCCACAATCGTCTCTCTGCAAGTCTGTTAAGTGCTATTAAACTAGCATCCTCCTTTGCTGAAGTGAAATAAGGCTGAAATATCATTCAATAAGACCATTAGCAAGAAAAAACAACTCATTCAAGAAAATTCGTAGGACTAATTTCATGTATGGTCACTGTCTACATTATGCTAGTATAGTTAGAAAATTAACATTAAGTAACTGAACTGTGTATGAATTGCTCAGAAAATATAAAAGGCAGCGCGGTGTACAAATTATCTCGCATTCACACAGGTTCCGTGGAAGGGGCGCACCTAGTGGCGAAGTCATAAATTTTCTCAAGGGTGTTCAAATTTGAAAGAACTGAAATAAAATTCCTTGACAAAGGGTGTTCAGTATATGCTATATATTCGCTAAAACCTAATACTTTACTTATATATATAGTGTAATTTTACGACGAAGACCACCCTTTAACAAATATAGCTTCGCCTATGAGCGCACCCTAAGGGGTGTGATGTAGAAGGTCTACCTAATACAATTATTAGTGGCTGCTTCCACGGCTCGAACTAGGTGACACAGAGACGACAACTTTACCTACTCCAAGACTCCCCTTCTGCTTAGAAAATATAAATGACCGAAAGGTTAAATTTCTGGTGCGAAGTCATAAACACGTCACTTCGCACATCAACATTTTCCCACTCTGTAAAATCCAGGTCAGATAATAATAATAATAATAATAATAATAATAATAATAATAATAATAATAATAATAATAATAATAATAAAAGAAGATACATTGTCAAATTTTGACTACCCTTCCGGCCATTTTGTATTTTCTTAGCAACTCACATATAATTCAATTACTTTAATGTAGTAAAAAATTCAGTAATCATACATGAAATTAATCCTTAATTGGTGCTTAAGTTGTACTTACCGGAGCTATTAAGGTGATTGATTTGACTGAGTTAGGAAATTTTGCAGCTAATGCTAATGCTAGCACACAGCCCATTGAATGTGCAACTAAATGAAATGAATTCAACTCAAATGGATGAATCACTGATCTTTCAATCATTTCTATATGATCTTTAAGTGTGTACAAGCAATTGTTTGGTTTTGGACTTTTTCCAAACCCCAATAAGTCAACTGCAAACAATCTGTATTTCTGCTTTGCATCTTCAGAGAGATTTGGGAAAACTGTTTCTGTCCAGAATGAGGAAGATGAGATAAAACCATGTAAAAATACTATATTTTCTGCCTTCTTGCCTTTGAAATCCTGTAAGCTAGCTGCCAATATTTGCAATGTTAATAATTAGTTATGAATATTTATCCAACACACGCATCAATGTATAAAGAAATTAATTGTCGATTCTTGAAATTAGAGGAACAGAAGACTTTTGAAGTTCTAATTTGTAGAATGCACGTCAACCAAGACATTGTAAGTACGAGTCACCCCAAGAGCAAGAGCAAGGTGGGGAGTTCTTGGAGGGAAGGAGCCGATGGTCTATCGAAAACAGCCTCTCTAACCCAAGGTAGGGGTAAGGTTTGCGTACACACTACTCTTCCCATACCCCACTAGTGGGATTATACTGGGTTGTTGTTGTTGTATTCTATATGTTGAATTTATATAGTTTTAATTTGCATATAATCAAGGTTTAGAGAAATACATATTCCACCTAAGAGAAACAAATTATAAGGAGAAATGAATAGCTAAACATTCCAACTCAATAATATTATAAAAAGACTAAAGGAACGCATACGATGTGACATTTGTGTATTCATGTTGGTAATCAATTTTCATTTTTATGATATTAGAAATTCTTGCAAGGCAAATACCAACAATGCAACTAAAGTTGAATTATTTATATATCCATGTAAACTGGCATTGTTAATTGTAAAATAAGAGATTTAAAACACTTGCATTCAAGTGAAATATGAAATAATATTCTAATACGGGACCACATATTCATACAAAATCATGTTACTAACGTGTTAAATTATACTAATAGTATAAAAATTCTTTGTACTATCGGTATGTATAAATTAAATCATACTACTATGTATATATGTGATGTATATGTACCTCGGTCTGGTTCTTTGATAACAACATGAAGCTTCAATTCTGCTTCATTACTCATCCATGAAACACAATTTTTACAACCACAATCAGACCATCTCACATTTTCGTTTACTTTTCTCCATTCTTTCTTCCTACTACAATTTCTGAGAAATCCCATTTCCCTAAATACATTTCTCCGTTTATAAAGAGTCTCTGACAATTCATTCTCTCCATCAATATCAGTAGTAACACTTTTTTCTTCTTCTTTTTCTATGAAACAGTAACATTGTGACCTTTTACCTTCCAAGAATTCATCTATCAATCTGAAGAATACGCAAAAAACAACGTCGACGAAGTCAAGGAATAAGAAAACAACTGCACTCGTTGATGAAATAAGAGTTTCCTTGAAATTTTGTAGACATTTTCGTGAGAAAGAAGCAGAGATTTTGAGCATATTTGAAAAAGAATTTAGACAGATAGAGAGAGTAAGGAATATAAGGTAAGGTAGCGTTGGTTACTGTTGGGTGAAATAAGTTTGGACCACGTACGTAGAATGGTTTGGCTATTGACAATTCTCTCTTTTGTTTATACTATTCTGCTTTTCTAATTTATGGACCAAATTAGACTAACCAATGGATATTGCCCAGGCAATTTTAAGCATTCAAAGAAGAACACGTTGTTTATAATCCTACCTTTAATTCATATTATTACTCTTTATTAAGGTTCGTACATCTCTTGTGAAAGACATTTAATAGTATAAATCATATTATTTGCTTAACCTACTATTTAGATCTTTTTGTTTCTTAAACGTCACACTACTTAATACTCTGGTGACCAGAGTCGGATCTAGAATTTCAAAAGGATGGTTGTATTATTGTGAAGAAGTGGATCTAGAATTTACATTTGACGGGTTTTTAACTTTAGTGTCTTACCATGAACTCACTACACTTTTAAAATTATAGGTTTAAAATTATATTATTTTTGAAATTTTAGTAATTTTCACACACACACACACACACACACAATATATATNACCGTACAAGTGGGATTTGAACTGTTAATTTCACATATAGAGGTACACCCAATAATAATTGCATCATAAGAGTCTTTGAGCATGGGTTCACACACATATATTTAAGTAATTTTGAAGAAATATAGTATTGTTATACATGGTTTGGGGAGAGGAGTATGGATTCACGTGAACCCATACCCCTCTGATTGGATATGCCTCTGCTAGTAACTGAGTACATATTTATCCGCATTAAGTATTTATACGAAATTAAATAATTTAACTTTAGTAGTTATAAATTGAAGTGAAACAACATATGACTTAATCAACACTAAATTATAATATGACGAAAAGTACATGTTTTGCATTTATTAATTTGATATAAGAACTGACACTAATATGAAAATATGAATTGCTTGCTGAAAACTTCAACTACTATACCCAGCACCAGGTTGACTTCTTATCATGATTAGATTGGACGTAAGATTCGAATTCGTGTTCGGAAGTCCCACCTCGGAGGATAACATGCTTCCTAATAAAGGTGACTTTATTTTCAGGATTCACATTCGAGATCTAGTTAAGAATAAAAGAATATTTATTACTCCACCAAAATCCTTATTAGTTTTATTTATTTATTTAAATGTCACCATAGTGGTGTAGGGGTTAAGGCATGACCCCTTACCTGTATATTACCAACAACCAAAAAGTGAATACATGGAGGAGAGGGGCACAATGCCTGATCCGAAGACTTATTCCAGACCTTATTCCTTCGCATGCTTCTAAGGCTCGAACACTCATTTCATTCATTCAGTGCCTGCGAAATCCGAGTGAATGGAAAGGACAAAATAAAGGAGAAATTCCGAAAGGTTAACATCCCTCCGCCCTTATTAGTAGTAGCGAACATCAGGTAACTTCATGCTGAGCACCTCAGTCTACGATCGTGCACAGTAACTGGGAGTCCTATTACACCTAAGGCCAATTTCAATTTCTTGATCTGAAAAATAAGATGAGATTGGCTCCTTTGGGTCACAATCAGAGTTAGGCCTATTTAGAGTTCTACTAAGTAAGCAAAAAATTCTATGAGGAGAGTACATTAGTGGTGATTACTGAGAGTCTGGGGGGGATTAATTCCCTGTCCACAGTGATAGAGGATATACAAAAAATGAGGCTAATTACATACATAATCACCATTAGAGTTTGTACCACTCCTCATATGCCTAATTCTAAAACATGGGAGTTGTACCTTATCCATTCGATAAGCTCCAATTTGGCTAAGACCTAAACAATTTTATTTCCTTCTCTATAGCAATGATGAACTTCTATGTTCAAGGATTGTGCGATCTGAATCATGTACTTGATGTCATCTGTAAGATCCCAAGGAAGATTATAAACACCCTTCATCATATTGACAGTCATAAGAGAGTCCATCTCTAGGATACAATTGGTTACATTGTTTTGCTTGCACCAATTAAGGGCATAGAGTGCTGCTTGAACTTCAGTTTGGCTGTTAGAGTAGAAATGAAGAGCTTTGGCAAATGCCATGATCAAATCTCCATTTCTATTCCTAACCACCCCTCCAATTCCTGCAGTTCTCTTTGTAATATTACTACTTCCATCGGTATTTATTTTTAGAAAACCTTTAGGTGGTTTATTCCATATAACTGGAGTGTTTGTGATTCTTGGTCTATAATCTTCCATGCAAGAGCAAATTTGATGCCATTGTCATTTCATATCCACAGTAACCCCTCTCTTCTTCATGTATACATTCATATGAAACAAAATAGAGTGTCTTAGTTTTGCAATGGTAGGATTTATGTTTCCATACATGATAGAGCATCTATGTTTCCATAGTTCCCAACAGATAAAGATAGGAACTACTTGACATAAGTTTCTTTGGATATCATTCTTATTCTGAATGTTCCTCCATAACTTTAAAGCATAAGCAATTGAATGGCATCTTACTTTAATTCCCAGAGGACCTGCAAAGAAGTTCCAAGTTAGAAAAGCAATATCACTAGTAAGAAGAATATGAGAAATAGTTTATTTTTTGGGATGTAGACAACAAGAGTATCTGGATATTATATTATGACCAAATCTCTTTATGGTTTCATCCACATGCAATTTATCCTTAATAGATCTCCAAAGAAAGATAGACATTTTAAATTGGATATTTTTCTTCCACACATCTTTCCACATATTATCCATATCCCTTCTTTTCCTAATGCTATTGAAAGCCGAGGAATAAGTAAATGTACCATTTGAAGTCTCAGTACAAACAGGAGTGCCATTAATCTGTCTATTGCTAATGGGAATATGTGTAATATGATTCAACAGATTATTTGGAATCAGACTAGAGATAGTGTTTATATTCCATGCATCATTCTTAACACAATCCCTGATCTTCATATTACCAGGTTTTTTGTTACCATTGATATAAGCACTAAGTGGTCCAAGCCCTGCCCAATTATCCCACCAAAAGGAGTTATTACCATCATTGTTCTTCCATAAGATATAAGGTTCAATATCTTTTTTGATATGCACCATTTTCTTCCGGGCAGCAAGATGTTTAGATTCCAAGCCCTTTGCGACAGGGTGACTTTTAAGGGAGTTTTTAGCTCTCATATAATTTGCCCAAAGGTTGTTTGCAACTCTGAACCTCCACTATCTGTTGGCAGAGAAAGTCTTACATAAGTCAGTCAGACTTTTTAAACCAACACCACATTCATCAGTAGGCTAACAAAGGTTCCTCAAAGAGCTCCAATGGTATTTGTTCTTGTTTTCAGATTTGCCCCAGAAGAAGTTGGAGAAATAACTCTCCAATTGTTTGAGAATTGTTTTGGGAGGGTAATAATGTCAAGAATATGAAGTGTTTGAGATTGTAGCATATGATTAATGAGAGTAGCTCGGCCACCAGGGGAGAGTACATGGCCCTGCCAACCTCCTATCTTATTCATAACATTCTTGGCAATATCTGCATAGTAATAAATTTTCTTTCTTCCAGAATAGATTGGACAACCCAAATATTTGAAAGGAAATGATTGATATCGATAATCAGTTAGACTCTAAATCATATTATGTCAACTATCATGAATATAATTGGAGGCTAAGTAGAAGCTTTTATCCTTGTTGATCTCCTGACCTGAAGATTCTTTGTATCTCCTTAAAGTTTTCATTACCTGCTTCGTGGAGTATTTATCTCCAGAAGTGAATATCACTAAGTCGTCTGCATATGCAAGGTGATTTATCCTAGGACCTCTGTTATTCATAGAATAACCAATATACTTACCCTTATTATGAAGGCGATTAATGGCTTTGGTTAGGGCCTCAGCTGCAATAACAAAAAGGCTAGGGGAAAGGGGGTCTCCCTGTTAAAGACCTCTAGAAGAGGGAAAGAAACCAAATATAGTGCCATTAATAAGAACAGAATACCAAACATTAGAGAGCAATCTATGAATCATATCAATGAAAGGTTCAGCAAATCTCATAATCTTCAGAACAGAAGTGAGAAAAAACCAAGAAACTTTGTCATAGGCTTTAGCCATATCTAGTTTCATAACCATATTGCCCCCTCTATTTTTGCGTTTAATACCCTGGATAATTTCTTGAGTTAAGAGAATATTTTCAGTGATTAGCCTTCCTTTGATAAAACCAGTTTGATTTTCAGAAATAATTCTAGGGAGTAAATCAATTAATCTATTGGATATAATTTTATTGGAAAAATTACTTAGACTAATAGGCCTAAGTTGAGAAAATATATAAGGAGATTCAACCTTAGGAATAAGTACTAGAAAAGTATGAGTAGAAATTTTTGTCAAATTGTTACCACCAAAGAAGTCCTTAACCATAGCACGCACATCATCAACAACAATATGCCAACAAGCTTGGAAAAATCTGTCATTGAATCCATCCGGACTAGCTGCACTATCAGGATGAAGCTCAAAGACAGCTATTTTAACTTCCTCATCGGAAGTCAGAAGGAAGTTGTAGAAAAGCTAGATTGTCCTCCCAAGTGATGGTACTGTCAATCCTTTTGAGAAAATCCATGTCATTATTCTGATAAGTTTGTGAAAAAAGGTTGTTGAAGTGCGAGATAGCACATTCTGCAATTTTCTCATTCCCTCGAATCCATTGACCATGCTCATTTTTGATTATGTGCAGAAAAGATCTTTTCCTCTTCTGTCTGATGACGCTGTGAAAATATTTGGAGTTGCTATCACCTTCTTCTTCCCATTTGATGTTGGCTTTCTGTCTAAGAATAGAATCTTGCATATTCATCCACTTGATTTGTTGAGCATATGCTAAATGAAGATTGATCCTATTACTGGCACAGTCATCTTGCTCATATTTAATCTCTAGATCTTCAACCTTCTTCTCATGTTCTTCCACCTTGTCAAATACATTGCCAATACTTTCTTTAGACCATTTTCCAAGACAATGAGTGAGTTTCTTGAGTTTATGACGTAGAGTATACATAACATTGCCTTGTACTTGAGTTTTCCAGCAATCTTTAACAACATGATCGAAATCAGGTTGATCCAGCCAGAAATTTAAGAAT